CCTCGGACTCGTGGGAAGCTTGATCCTAAGGCTGTCCGGTGTGTCTATCTTGGTTATTCTGCTACTCAAAAGGGCTACAAATGCTATGACCCTCACACTCAAGCTGTATGTTGGTATTCATGTCACCTTCCGTGAATCTGAGTCTTTTTTTTCTTGTCCTCCGCTATCTCCTCAAGAGGAGAGTGGTATCGATGAGATTGCGGATGAGACGGCATCATATCAGCATGAGTTGTCTTTTTTCCTTCCTAATCAGCGAGCTGTTATTTGTGGTGAGGGGGAGCGTAGCAGTTCTGTTGATAAGGAGTCGAATATCAGTGGTCGTTTGGACAGTGCTGATCTTAAGACTTATTCACGGCGTCAGAAAGAGCAAGATTCTCTTGTGCCACCACGTCAATCATCATCTCTTATGCCAATCCCACACCCAGTTTCCACTAACTCTACAGGTAATGATCCTCAACCCATTTCTTCACCTGTTGTTGATAGTCTTGTTACTGATGATTTGAGTCTTCCTATTGCTCTCAGAAAGGGGGTTAGAGCCTGTACTCAACACCCTATTTCTAAATTCGTGTCATATGATTCGTTGTCTTCTCTATATCGTGCTTTTGTTTCGTCTCTTTCTTCTGTGTGTATTCTGCAAGGTTGGAAAGAAGCCATCAATGATCCTAAATGGAAGGTAGCTATGGTAGAAGAGATGCAAGCTTTGAGTAAAAATAACACTTGGGAGTTGGTATTTCTTCCTAATGGGAAAAAACCAGTAAGATGTAAGTGAGTGTTCACCATTAAGCACAATGCAAATTGGACGATTAAACGGTACAAAGCAAGACTAGTGGCCAAGGGATTTACCTAGACATGGAATAGATTATCAAGAAACTTTTGCCCCGATAACAAAGATGAATTCTATTTGAGCTATTCTGTCGTGTGCTGCTAATTTGGGATGGTCTCTACAACAACTAAATGTGAAGAATGCTTTTCTTCATGGGGATTTGGAGGAGGAGGTATATATGGATGTATCTCCAGGATTCTCATCTCAGTCTACAGTTGGAAAGGTTTGCAGATTGAAGAAGGCTTTGTACGGATTGAAACAATCTCCTAGAGCCTGATTTGGTAAATTTCTAAAGGCAATGCTGGGATTTGGGTATCAGCAAAGCAATCCGGATCACACCTTGTTTGTCAAACACAATGTACATAAGGTAACAGTGCTTATTGTATATGTGGATGACATAGTTGTGACAGGTAATGATGAAGAGGAGGTAACCCATCTTAAGATGCAGTTAGCCAAGGAGTTTAAGATAAAAGATCTTGGTCCATTGAGATACTTTCTTGAGATTGAAGTTGCCAGTTCTGATAAAGGCATCTTCATTTCTCAAAGGAAGTACATTCTAGATCTTCTTAAGAAAAGGGGCATGTTGGGCTGCAGACCAGCTGATGCACCGATTAAGACTAATCATCGTCTTTGTAGTGGGGTTGGTGAGCCTGTAGAGAAGGAAAGGTACCAAAGACTTGTGGGAAGACTGATATATCTCTCTCATACTCGACCAGATATTGCCTATGCAGTTGGGATAGTGAGTCAGTTTATGCATGATCCTCGTGCAACTCATTTGGATGCAGTCTATCGCATTTTGAGGTACCTTAAATCTACCTCTCGAAAAAGAATTTTTTTCTCTAATCATGGTCACTTGAGGTTGAAAGCATTCACAGATGCAAATTGGGCAGGCTCTATAGATGACCGACGCTCTACCTCCAGTTATTGTGCTTTTGTAGGGGGAAATCTAGTCACATGGCGTAGTAAGAAGCAGGCGATAGTTTCCAGATGTAGTGTTGAAGCTGAATACAGGGCTATGGCACATAGAACATGTGAACTAATATGGCTTCAATATTTGTTGAGTGATATAGGGCTTGATTGAAGTGATCCCATGACTTTGTATTGCGACAAGAAGGCTGCTATTAGTATTGCACACAATCTTGTTCAACATGACCGGACTAAGCATATTGAGATTGACAGACATTTCGTTAAGGAGAAGTTAAATAAGGGCGTGATATGTATGCCTTTTGTTAAGTTTGAAGATCAACTGGCGGATGTTTTTACTAAAGGTCTTAGTAGTAAAGTCTTTCACCCTATTTGTTGCAAGTTGGGCAAGAGAGACATATTTGCACCAACTTGAGGGGGAGTGTTAAGTGTTAAGGGTAGTTTGGTCTGTATGTATTATTCCTATTAGTATAAATAGTTGTGTGTCCCCTATGCTTTTTGAATTAAGTAATATACAGCAACTCTCTCTCTCTCTCTTTATTCTTCTTCTTCTTCTTCTTCTTCTTCTTCTTCTTCTTCTTCTCCTTCTCATCATCTATACATTCAACAAAATTCTTTTTTTAAAAAAAATTATTATCGTTGAAATTGAAGTAAACAGTAACAGTAATATGTTACTCTTTGACGGTAGCATATTACTCTATCTAACAGTAGCATGTTACTCTATTTGACAATTACTCTATTCTATTTGATAATAACATGTTACTCTGATTCACAGTAACATGTTACTCTGGCAATATTGTCTAAGAAAAGTAAAAATATATATTTTACTTTATCCTTAGTCAATTATGTGTTTTCTCCTTAGGGGGTTTATGAAGAAAAATAAATTAGGCTGTCATTTTCACCAAACAATGGTCCAATGGAGGGGTTTTGACTAAATTTCCCAATTAAATTAAGAACAAAAGCAATGCATGTGGTGCACAAACATGCACATGATAAAAAAATCCAGGGATAATAAGCTAAATGAAGAGGGAGTGCCTATGTGAACATGGGGGAGTTTGTGAGGAGTGGGACAGTTGCATAATTTAAATTATTTAAAATTACTATTTAACCTTTTAGATCCTTTGTGTTTAGAAAATATATAGAGGATATTCAGTAGAATGTCAAAAGATTTGTCTAAAATCTGCCAAAAAATTAGGACCACCACTTTGCTTTCTATAATGATATAGATATGCCAAAAGAAGAAAAAAATATATGACAAAATGTTCAAAAGGGCATAAGAAAGAGACATTTTTCCCAACAATTTCCAAAGTTGTAGAAAGACCACCTCATTCAAACTATTTGAAATCTCTTGATGATTATGAGGAGGAATTTTGTGGGGGGAAGAATTATCAGCAGCTTTCAAGGCAGCTTCGAGTTCAACCTTCTCCATCTATCACAAATTAGATAAGATAACATTAAAGCAGGCTCAAGGAGCAAGATTGCTAATATTGTGATTGAGCTTTATAAATCCAGTAAAAAAAATAGAAGCCTATAAATTTTAGAACACATGTGCAACATACTAGCAAATATATAATAATGATAAGTATCAACCTTAAGATTATTGTTCTCCTCCAGGGTTGCAATCACTCTTTTTAAACCCTCTGCAATGTCATCTGTTTCTGCATTCTCCCTTCTAGTCAATTCTATTTGTAATCGTCTTACTTCTGATATTTTCTCATTCAATTCATCATGAATTTTGTTCATCTCCATTTTCTGCAAGAAGAGATCACCATGTGTGGGTGGAAGAAAAGAAAAGATTAGATTGCCAAGAACCAATGAAAAGAAGAAGATGAAGAAGAAGAGAGAGAGAGAGAGAGAGAGATAATATACAGAATATACATAAGTAAAGACAACTTTGAAAACACACAAAACGAAATTGAAAAGTTCATGCCAGAGCCAAATTCTTAAGAACAGTTTTAAAATCATAGAACTCTACACAGAGGTTACGCTTAATGATGTACATGGGTGTATCATATACACACAACATACATATGATGTTAATGGAGAGTATAATTCATGTCATGAACACTACCAGATATTCATGTTTCATGAAGACCCACACACTAAATTCCTAGCACTATGCTACAGATTCTACCAGAGTACAAAATCCTGTGCATGCACACAGCACCTCAAATGATGTTTTGTTAAGCAAAAAAACTTGGCTTAAACCCTTCACCACTTTAATCCACATTTCAGTTTAGCTATTAGTTTCAATTCGTCTTTGTAAAGAAAATAGCAATCAAGATATTATAGTCAGTAGTAAGTTCCACTAATGAGAATATATTGGATCCTTGAAAAGGATCTTTGCCTCTTCCCCAAGATTTTTCAGCCAACAAGAAACAAAGAACATATAGATTGGATCCCTTTACAAACCAGACGGGATGAAACATTTATAGTACCATCAGAGATATTTAAGTTAGATTATGATCTTTATTTTTCACTGCAACGGAGAAAGGTAACAACTATTTGAGAAATAATTGGTGAATTTCAAGATAAATGAGTAAAAGTAATTTATGGTCAACTTTACATAAATAATGTCAAAAAGCCAAAATAGCCATCAATTCCAATAGAAAGGAACCCAATTCAGAACTCACTTTGTCCTTGTCCACTTTTGATAAGTTCAGCTCCTCTTGAAAGGATTCATTCAACTTCAGTTCCTCTAGGAATGGAAAAGAGATCAGGCAAGAAATTTAAGACAACAAAATGTGATATTACAATTGGACATTCAAAGAGTAGGGAAGTACCTTGTAATTTTAGCTGAATATTTGCTAACTTGTCACGTTCTTTCTCAAGTTCTAAGCCCAAGTTGTTTATTTCAGACTCATGAGCTGCCTGAATCGCTGCCAGAGACATGTTTTTCTCTTCTAACAAATCTGCAAGCTCCTAGAAAGCATTCATATATGTGTTGTCAACTTCAATCATTATGGACAAAGAACAAAAACGAAACACACTAACTAATCAACTTCAAGAGAGGAAACATGAAAAAAAGAAAAAAAAAAAAAAAAAACAGAAGTTGCATCATAAACACAGCGAAGTGACAACTTCTCAGGGAATGTGCTAATCCCAAAATTAAATTTTAATAAAAAATATTTACTCCATATAAAGGTTCCTAAAACTTAGAAATTTTAGCAAGCTAGCCAAAAATCAATTTGGAAATTGTAATATCAGGATCCAATCTAAGACACAAAATAGGTGATACATATTCATTAACTATATCTCACTCAAACTAGGATATATACTTGTCAGAACAAAACAGAACAAAAGGTACCATTACCTTTTCATTGCCCTAAATACCAGATTGTTTTGATTCTATCTTAGTGTGAAATGTGAATGATTTCAGGTTGCATAGATTGTGCAATCCCATTGCTTAGTCCATCCTGTTTATAGACAATTCCATTGTGTGTTTGATCACCAATAGAATGAAATTTTACAAGAGCTTTATGCTGCCAATTGGGCGACTGATAAATACTCCCCTGGACAAATTCCAGATAAGATCAGCCAATGATGCCCAATTCAAAGATGAATATTTATATTAGTGAAAATTTTATGATGAGGCTCATCCTAAAAAGTTTAAATGTTTATTAACAGGGAAAAAAAAATGGAACAAATAGAATTATATTCCTAACCTAATGGAAGCTCAATCTTAACAGCTATGAATCATGGATACAGATATGGTGTTACAAGTTTACAACAAAACCTAAGAAATTAAGATATGGAAACAGCCAGGGTACATTGATTTTTTTTTTTTTAATATAATTTTTAGTATTATATTATACATGAGCTCAAAGAATAGTTAAAAACCATTTTGTAGAAATTAAATATTAATTGAAGAGCCAATATTCAATTTACTTTTGTTTTTAATCTCACTATTTTCTTGTTCAATAAGAAATAAAAATATTGTAAGACAATTTATGTGGTTATTCTAACAATTATACTCTAATGCCGTGCAAAAATTATTTTAATCTCAATTTTATAATAGTTTGGTTATGTAACTCCGCCGGGGTTGTTTAACAACTCCGCCAGTGCTAAGCCCGGGTTAAGGAGGAGGGTTGTGTGTTAGGTAGCCGACAGCCAACACGTAAAAAAAGCCGCTCGGGTCCCTTATGACAATGAATCCTACTTTGAATCATTTAAATGCTAGGTCGTTACCCTCAAAAGATGCGTTGCACCTGCCTCCGGGTGTTTCGAAAAGTGCGCAAGGGGCGCCGCATCGACGCCTGGGTGCGGTGAAAAATGGGCAAAGGTTCTCGTGTTTTTCTGGATGAGAGGTAAAGAAACTAGTCCGAGACTATAGGTTTAGAGTAGCCACTTGAAGCAACTGAGAACACCCCAACCTGGATTTTGGGTGGCAGCAACTGAGAACACCCCAACCTGGATTTTGGGTGGCAGCAACTGAGAACACCCCAACCTGGATTTTGGGTGGCAGCAACTGAGAACACCCCAACCTGGATTTTGGGTGGCAGCAACTGAGAACACCCCAACCTGGATTTTGGGTGGCAGCAACTGAGAACACCCCAACCTGGATTTTGGGTGGCAGCAACTGAGAACACCCCAACCTGGATTTTGGGTGGCAGCAACTGAGAACACCCCAACCTGGATTTTGGGTGGCAGCAACTGAGAACACCCCAACCTGGATTTTGGGTGGCAGCAACTGAGAACACCCCAACCTGGATTTTGGGTGGCAGCAACTGAGAACACCCCAACCTGGATTTTGGGTGGCAGCAACTGAGAACACCCCAACCTGGATTTTGGGTGGCAGCAACTGAGAACACCCCAACCTGGATTTTGGGTGGCAGCAACTGAGAACACCCCAACCTGGATTTTGGGTGGCAGCAACTGAGAACACCCCAACCTGGATTTTGGGTGGCAGCAACTGAGAACACCCCAACCTGGATTTTGGGTGGCAGCAACTGAGAACACCCCAACCTGGATTTTGGGTGGCAGCAACTGAGAACACCCCAACCTGGATTTTGGGTGGCAGCAACTGAGAACACCCCAACCTGGATTTTGGGTGGCAGCAACTGAGAACACCCCAACCTGGATTTTGGGTGGCAGCAACTGAGAACACCCCAACCTGGATTTTGGGTGGCAGCAACTGAGAACACCCCAACCTGGATTTTGGGTGGCAGCAACTGAGAACACCCCAACCTGGATTTTGGGTGGCAGCAACTGAGAACACCCCAACCTGGATTTTGGGTGGCAGCAACTGAGAACACCCCAACCTGGATTTTGGGTGGCAGCAACTGAGAACACCCCAACCTGGATTTTGGGTGGCAGCAACTGAGAACACCCCAACCTGGATTTTGGGTGGCAGCAACTGAGAACACCCCAACCTGGATTTTGGGTGGCAGCAACTGAGAACACCCCAACCTGGATTTTGGGTGGCAGCAACTGAGAACACCCCAACCTGGATTTTGGGTGGCAGCAACTGAGAACACCCCAACCTGGATTTTGGGTGGCAGCAACTGAGAACACCCCAACCTGGATTTTGGGTGGCAGCAACTGAGAACACCCCAACCTGGATTTTGGGTGGCAGCAACTGAGAACACCCCAACCTGGATTTTGGGTGGCAGCAACTGAGAACACCCCAACCTGGATTTTGGGTGGCAGCAACTGAGAACACCCCAACCTGGATTTTGGGTGGCAGCAACTGAGAACACCCCAACCTGGATTTTGGGTGGCAGCAACTGAGAACACCCCAACCTGGATTTTGGGTGGCAGCAACTGAGAACACCCCAACCTGGATTTTGGGTGGCAGCAACTGAGAACACCCCAACCTGGATTTTGGGTGGCAGCAACTGAGAACACCCCAACCTGGATTTTGGGTGGCAGCAACTGAGAACACCCCAACCTGGATTTTGGGTGGCAGCAACTGAGAACACCCCAACCTGGATTTTGGGTGGCAGCAACTGAGAACACCCCAACCTGGATTTTGGGTGGCAGCAACTGAGAACACCCCAACCTGGATTTTGGGTGGCAGCAACTGAGAACACCCCAACCTGGATTTTGGGTGGCAGCAACTGAGAACACCCCAACCTGGATTTTGGGTGGCAGCAACTGAGAACACCCCAACCTGGATTTTGGGTGGCAGCAACTGAGAACACCCCAACCTGGATTTTGGGTGGCAGCAACTGAGAACACCCCAACCTGGATTTTGGGTGGCAGCAACTGAGAACACCCCAACCTGGATTTTGGGTGGCAGCAACTGAGAACACCCCAACCTGGATTTTGGGTGGCAGCAACTGAGAACACCCCAACCTGGATTTTGGGTGGCAGCAACTGAGAACACCCCAACCTGGATTTTGGGTGGCAGCAACTGAGAACACCCCAACCTGGATTTTGGGTGGCAGCAACTGAGAACACCCCAACCTGGATTTTGGGTGGCAGCAACTGAGAACACCCCAACCTGGATTTTGGGTGGCAGCAACTGAGAACACCCCAACCTGGATTTTGGGTGGCAGCAACTGAGAACACCCCAACCTGGATTTTGGGTGGCAGCAACTGAGAACACCCCAACCTGGATTTTGGGTGGCAGCAACTGAGAACACCCCAACCTGGATTTTGGGTGGCAGCAACTGAGAACACCCCAACCTGGATTTTGGGTGGCAGCAACTGAGAACACCCCAACCTGGATTTTGGGTGGCAGCAACTGAGAACACCCCAACCTGGATTTTGGGTGGCAGCAACTGAGAACACCCCAACCTGGATTTTGGGTGGCAGCAACTGAGAACACCCCAACCTGGATTTTGGGTGGCAGCAACTGAGAACACCCCAACCTGGATTTTGGGTGGCAGCAACTGAGAACACCCCAACCTGGATTTTGGGTGGCAGCAACTGAGAACACCCCAACCTGGATTTTGGGTGGCAGCAACTGAGAACACCCCAACCTGGATTTTGGGTGGCAGCAACTGAGAACACCCCAACCTGGATTTTGGGTGGCAGCAACTGAGAACACCCCAACCTGGATTTTGGGTGGCAGCAACTGGAAAATATCATAGATTTGATTTTTAAAAACCTCGTGACAGCATTTCATCAGCTTCATCCAAGACAAACATTTTGATGTAAACAGGGCGAAGTGATTGTCTCCGCAACATGTCAAACACGCGACCAGGAGTACCAACAACAACATGAACCCCACTGGAGAGAATGCGCTGATCTTCGCGCACACTAGTCCCTCCAACACAAGCATGAACCTTCACACTTTGCTGGGTAAGTTCAAGAGTGGGTGGAAGAACCAAAGCTTGGCACTTAACCAAGCTATAATCTAGCTGCTGCAGAATTCCAGAGCAGAATGTTGCAGTGTTTCCAGTTCTAGACTGTCTCGTCATATGAGGTGAAGAATTCTTCTCCATCAGCCTCACACATGACTACAGTTGCACAAATCTTTGTTGATTTTATCAGCGGAATAGGTTGAGGTCCGGCGGGCGGCTAAGGTGAGGTTGCCGCCCGCCGGGGAAGCGAAAATACTAGGTTTTAAACCAGCTCTGATACCATGTAAGAAATAATGTATAGAGAAAGAGAGAGAATAAATTGTATGTATTATTATTGATTGATATATTGATATTAGTGAATGTTATTAGTGCAAACGCCCCTCAAGTAGGATTAGAAGATCAGACTAAGAGGGATTTTTGGGAGCAAATCGATGAGATCTTACAGGAGATACCTGTAGGAGAGAACCTGGTTATAGATGGAGATTTTAATAGTCATGTAGGCATAGATAAATTAGTGCATGGTGGATACAGTTTTGGTGACAGAAATGAGACTGGCGAGAGTATCTTAGATTTTACGTTGGCTTCTAACCTGGTGGTGGCCAATACTATGTATAAGAAGAGAGGAGAGCATTTGATAACCTTTAAGAGTGGGTCAGTTAAGAGCCAAATAGATTACTTTTTAGTGAGAAAAGTGGACTGCCTAAAATGCAATGATTGTAAGGTGATTCTTGGAGAGAGCCTAACCTCTCAACATAGGATTTTAGTACTAGATTTATGTTTTAGAGGGCAATACCAAGCTAGGAAGGATGGTGGGTATCATAGGACGAAATGGTGGGACCTAAAAGGGGATAAATTAGAAATATTTAAGAATAGAATGGATAAGAAAGATACTTGGGATTTGGAAGATGATGCTAACACTATGTAGAACTCGATAGCTAATTGTATGAGGAGAATCTCAAGAGAAGTGCTTGGAGAGTCGAAAGGGACGGGACCCAGTTCTAAGAAAACTTGGTGGTGGAGGGAAGAGGTTTAAGCGGGTAGTTAAGGCAAAAAAAAAGTGCTTTAAAAAGTGGCAAAATGATAAAATTGAGGAAAACCTTAAGAGCTATAGATTGGCTAATAAGGAGGTCAAGAAAGTAGTCAGAGAGGCTAAGTTGAAAGCTTATGATGACCTATACACTAGACTGGATAGTAAGGAGGAAGAGAAGAGGGTACACAAACTTGCTAAGATATGGGAGAGGAAAACAAGAGATTTTAACCAAGTCATCAAGAGTGAGGATTCTAAGGTATTGGTGAGGGATGAAGAGATTAAGGAAAGATAGAAGAACTATTTTGAGAAACTGTTAAATGAGGAACATGGAAGTACGGCAATAGGGGAAGAAATAGCCAGTAATATGATAAATCAAGACTATAGGTTCTATCGAAGGATTAGAAATTTTGAAGTGGAGATTGCACTTAAGAAGATGAAATCAAATAAGGCTTTATGACTAGATAATATCCCTATTGAAACTTGGAAGTGTTTGGATAAAAAAGGGGTTGCTTGGTTGATTAGGTTGTTTAGCAAAATTTTGTTGACTAGGAACATGCCAAATGAGTGGAGGATGAGTATTTTAGTGCCAATTTATAAGAATAAAGGAGATGTCCAGAATTGCAATAACTATAGAGGAATCAAGCTAATGTGTCATATAATGAAAGTGTGGGAGAGGGTGATAGAACACCGATTGCGAGATATAACAGAGGTATCAGAGAATCAATTTGGGTTTATGCCTGACAGGTCAACAATGGAAGCGATTTATCTTTTGAGAAGAGTAATAGAAAAGTATAGAGAAAATAAAAGAGACATTCATATGATGTTTATCGACCTTGAGGAAGCATATGATAGAGTGTCCCGGGATATAATATGGTGGGTGTTAGCGAAGAAATGGGTGACAAAAGGTTGCATTGATGTGATTAGGGAAATGCATGAAGGGGTGGTGACCACTATTAGATCACCTGCTGGAGAGACAAATGAATTTCCTATCACTCTAAGGTTACACCAAGGATCTATCTAAGTCCTTATCTTTTTGCTTTAGTTATGGACGAGTTGACGAGAAATATCCAGGATGACGTGCCATGGTGTATTCTTTTTGCAGACGATATAGTGCTAGTGGATGAGACTAGAGAAGGAGTTAATACAAAGTCGGACATTTGGAGAAAAACTCTTGAATCTCAAGAATTCCGGATAAGCAGAACTAAGACAGAGTATATGGAGTGTAAATTTAGTAACAGTAACAATGAAAGCAGAGGAAAAGTGAAGATTGAGAACCAAGAACTGCCTAAGAGTAAACATTTTCGTTATTTAGGGTCGATTATCACAACAGCGTGAGAGATTGATGCGGATGTGGCCCATAGGATTAAGGCGGAATGGTATAAGTGGAGAGGTGGGTCTGGGATACTGTGTGATAAACGAATACCCACTAGACTTGAAGGTAAATTCTATAGAACGGCTATTAGACCAGCGATGTTATATAGGATGGAGTGTTGGGCAACCAAAAAACATATAGATAAGATGAGTGTGGCTAAAATGAGAATACTAATTAGGAATGAGTGTATTCGGGAATGGATAGGAGTAACACTGATAGAAGATAAGTTGAGAGAGAATTGATTGAGATGGTTTGGTCATATTCAACGGAGACTAACAGAGGCAATAATGAAGAGATGTGATGCTGTAACGGGAGATGGAAGTGTTAGGGGACGGGGTAGGCCTAGATTAATGTTGGTTAGCGTTGTAAATAGAGATATGGATCTACTTAATTTGACTAACGAAATGGCCTTTGATAAGATCGCGTGGAGAAGAAGGATTCCTGTTAGCCGACCCCATTTGATTTTTGGTTTGGTTTGGTTCGGTTATGTGACCTAGAGTGTTCGAAAAGTATCCAATACTTCTCAAAATTAAAATCAAGTATCGGATGCATTTAGGAAGTATCTAATACATATCCGTGAGTATCTAAGGCGTATCTAGATCCAATATGGGTATGATACGGATAAAACTCCCCTTTCGAAGTATCTGTGCTTCATAGCTTAACAACAATAATACAATAAAATTATTCACCCAATTAAGCAGCAGAGGGAAATTCCATATCTTCCAAGTAAAGAAAGAATTATTAATAACATCAAATTTAAAAAATCTAAGAAAATATACAAATGTCAAAGTAAAATTGTTTCAAATTATATTAAGCCTAAAAATTGAGTCTGTATACCTAATGGATTCAAAATGTCCAAATAATAAGATTAAGGGCAGCATATGAACAATATCATGCAAATATTTATATTCTTGTGCATTCAAATCCTGAAACAAATTCAAACTATTAAGAGAAAGTAAAAGAAAGAAACCCTTGTATTCTATGAAGCACACGCAGACCCCTCTCTGGAGGTCACATACCAATGTCCGACACATATCGAACACACTGGAGAGAGTCAAACACGTTGATGACACTTGGACACATTGGGGATACTTTGGGACACACTAAGAAAATGTTTTTTTTTGCCAGAATAGCATATCCAAGGTCGATAAATTTAATGAGAATAAATATTTGACATAAAATAAATATATAATATTAAAAAACATGACATATAATAAATATATAAATTATACGTTTCACACGTGACCCCCGGTGTCTCATGTCCTGTATTTTTTGAAAATTTATGTGTCTGTGTCCGTGTTTGTGCTTCTTAGCCTGCATTCAATCTGAAAAATGGCTCATGCTTCTGACATGAGGGTTGTACACCCAATTGAGATGGTCACTTTGCTCAGGCATAAGCGGCCCCAACAGTTGCAAATATTGACAATTTCGAAACATCTATTTATTTTTTCTTTGTATCACAAATGTGAAGCCAAAGGAGACAGGGCATGCATCTCAGGTGACTCACTCTACATATTCTTGATGGTAAACAGCCCCTAAAGTAAATGCTAGAAGACAAAAATAGGAAAAACTATTTGATCAAGGGTATTTCCCTAATTTCCTAGATCAAGGACTTTTTCATGTATTTTAGATCTGGGATAATTTGGAAATTTTATTAGTATTTCCAGAGTCGATAAGTGTTTTTTTAAACATTTATTAAATCCTTTTCTTATTTGGAAATAGGTTTCAGTCCTAATTAGTTTTAGGAACTCTTATATCTTGTAGGAGAGTATTACGCTTAGGAGCTAGCTTTCTAGAGACAAAATACAAGTTTAGGTTAACGAAATTTCAACAGAATTTTGCTCTTGATGGTGAGATTCCCATTAAATGCTTTGAGGAGAGATTCCTAGGAAACCTTATTGAGATTCTAAAGTTTTAACTATTTTCTTCTTCTTCGTCTTGGTTGATTGTAATCCAGCAACCTCTGCATCCATAAGCTTCCTTAACCACCCTTTCCTTTAAAACTCGAAAACACTAAGACCTTGTTCCTAAACTCTAGCCTCAAACAACCTAGATCCCTGTTGTCTGAAAACACTCAACCATTACAAACAGTATTTGATTCTCAAACCCTAAACCTAATTTTCCACCATATTAAATTTACAAGACAGCCCTAATTCTCAGCTTTGAAGACGTTTGTCTTGCATCAATTCCAATTTTTCTAAATACTGAAGCTAAGGTCCTACATGCCCAAACAAAAAATATAGCCATGAGTCCCGAAAATGAAAAGTCAAGATAAACCATGTACTGCAGCTACTACAAGTAAATTATTTCACACAAGCAAGAAGTTGCGAAGAATGATTACATCATCAAAAGCAACAGTGTTGATACCCTTGCCTCTCAAAATTGTTGCTAAACATATCACAGTAAAACATTTAGAGTTGGGTATAATATAAGGCAGGCTTGCTTGAATAGCACAAACTTTAGAGCAAAGTTCAAATGAGAACTCTATTTGATTTGTGTAGCCAACCCCAAATAGTTGGGAAAACGCTTTCTTGAGTTAATACTCTTTAATAGATTCAACACATGCAAAGCAAAATAACTTAAAATTTCACAATATACCTTGAGGCCATTCATGCTATTTGTGGATGTTTTGAAACTCTCGTTTCTAGATGAATTTAGAGCAGCATTTGTTGCATTCAGATTTTGTTTCAACAAGCTATTTTCTTCATTCAATCTTGAAATCCGATCCTGTCAAATGTAATTTTTAAAGAACAAACATGAGTAAAAGGCTCTTCAAATCACAAAAAGGATAAATATCATTATAAAGCAAACAAAATCATTCAAAGAAAATATCAAAAACTTTATAAAACTGTCATTACAAGTAGATCAATTGGGCAAAATAATTCATCAAGTGGTTTCATAATTGGAACAGGTCATTGAGTCACTAGTTTAACCAGTGGTACCATAATCATCCTTGAACTGCACATCATTTGGTTTCAGACTGCAGGTCAAGGGTTTAACTTCCCAGTAAATTAGCAGCAACAGCAACTGTAGCAATTTTAGCTAAGTTGTGGACGTCTTTACAAACTAAACTGTTCAAAATTAAACAAACAGGAATAATGAGTACTCAGTAATTAGAGGCAACAGTAAAACCACTCAATCCTTTCTCCCAAGTCTAAAGAGGGTCAGAACAGTAATTTTCCGAGTTAATGCATAGGACATCCCACAGCTAGTCCACCAGTCCAGCTCAATGAGCACAAGAAACACTACAATTTGAGCAGGATGAACTGCGTTAACTCACTTCTAGGCCTTAAATGGTCAACTTAAAGGACAAAACCAGCTAGGTGGCAAGGTGTCCTACAGTCCTGAACCACCAACACTCTTGACTATGACCAAAGTGCTGCACAACCCTTCCCTCCATGGGTCCAACTTCCCATGGTACCAACTATTAAGGTTGCTTGATGGGAGGAAAGTGATTGTGACAAATTTGATAATATTTGGGGTAAGAACCAACAAATCATAAGGCATCCACTAAATATAGTTGACTTAAACATACCTCAGTTGACTTCTGTCAAAAGATCACAACATCTTACAAGTAAAAATAACACACTTGGATGTTGAACCTATTGCCTAAAAATGTCATCATCAGTTTCAAGCTCAGACAAAACTAACAAAACATGTCCCAATAAAAATGTCCAACACCCAAGCTATAGCTATCAAAGAAAAACATTGCATTAAATGAACCAGTCACAAAACAAACAAATACCTCTTTTTCCTTCAATAGAGCAGCATAATTAACTGATAATGCCTTAATTTCTGCCTCTGATTCATGAAGCCTCTTGATTTCTACTTTGTATTGTTCAACCTGGAACAGCCACCGAAATAGAAAACTTCACATCATTCACCATGGGAAAAAAATAAACTCCAAATCATAAAAAATTACACTCGCATTCACAAGGGACTAGGCATTCACAAGGGACTAGGCATAATGGCCAATGAATTCAAGAAGGACAACTCGGTGGCCTTACCCTGACCCAAACTTTTGAAGCTCTATTTGATACATGGACTGGACTTGCGTCCATAAATTTCAACCCAACCTTAATCTGGACTTGGCATGGAGGCCTTGGCAAGCCAAGCTTTATATGTTAAAATTATTATTAGTTGGATCATTTTCAGCCAAATGAATGGTTGATTTCAAGTTAGTTACATTAACCCAAGCATCCATACCATGCGACTATTGTTCCATTAAAAGTCCACCATTTATCCTATAGTCTCAAAAGTTTTAACAAAAGCTGCTGAGCAACCAAAGAAACTTCAGCGAAGGGCCTAATCCCTCCCTCTCTCTAATAAAATATATAAAGAGATAATATATACACCCACATGTGTCCTTGTTTCATTTTGCCCAAGGACAACCAAAGTATTAGCCACAACCCTAAATCAGTGACTCACACCACAATAATAAATACAACACAAAGGTTCAGTGCAATTTGTTTTTATGGTTTTTAACTCCTTTTGATCATTTTTTTGTCATCAAAGCTTTGAAAAGATCAGAGCAAATCACTCTGTCTCTGAAACTGAATTCAGGCTGCCTGAACCTGGCTAATTTCATGAAAGTGAACCAGACTGAGCTTGGGTTGAGCGCCACAAATTGGAGGATGTGTTCAAGTCAGAAGTAGGGACTGATCTGAATTTTAAGGCTGACTCAACCTACCAAGTTGGAGCCATAGTAAATCCTCCAATTCACCATTATTATGCTTTGGAAATTCATATATTTATTTAAAATATAAACGGTAGCAATAGATTAGATAGTTACTCCTTTTTCTCCTTGATACCAAAAGAAGTAGGTAAAACTCATATTTGAAAGCTACAAAGTTTATGAAAGATATCTTTTAACGAAGCAATAATGCCATTCATATTGTTACATGAAGGGTATTTGACAATGCATCTCTTGATAGGGGATTCTTTAACGCATAAAATAGAGAGGGTTTATTGGGCAGATTTTATTGGCATGAATCTGTAAGAGATACCCGCCATACGTTGTCACGTTTGACTTTGTCTAGAATGATATTTTAGTGTTCAATGGAAATGACCTAATATTGGGCTCAGGTTGAATTTGATTGGTGGCTGCCATATTACAGCTTAGTTTGTACCTTACTGTGATGCAATCTGTGTCAGAATCCAAGCATTTTAGTACTTAGTCTTTTCATAGATTTGTGGTGGTATACCCAGGATTATTCATTTTTAGCTTATGATTGGTATTGTATTGGAATTCTTTTAATTCCTTAAAACGATTTGTATACACATTGAAATTTGGGATTAGCCTGTGTCTCTTTGTTTTTTTTTTCCCTCAACTCCCCATAAAATGGCAATAATAACAGGCTTCAAATCAAACCACTACACTTGACACTAAAACACTCTCCAATCTAGATGGCAGACTGCAAAGTATCAACATACCAAAAAAGAAAAAAACTAAAGGGCACACTAAAATTGCAAAATCAGATCTTGGGAGCTATTATTTTTAACTAAAGAAACACAATTTTATCAACTTATGCAATGAATGCGAACACATCCACACCAACACTCAGCTCCAAGTGAATAGTATAGAGTATCAAATTTGACACCTCAAAAATGAAACACGAGAAACATCGCATGCATGCAAGGATTTTGAAGCTTATACCAAATTCCAGAAACGAAATACCTCAAAATTGTCGGGGGAATCTTCGAATCGATTAGAATGCGAGGGCTGAAGGGAATAGGCGAAATTGTGAGAAAATCGGTGATCGGAGACGAGATGACCATTTCGATTGGGTGAATCATAGATTCCGAGCTCTTCTTCTTGTTGTTCATTATCATCATGGTAATCGTAATCGTAATCGTAATCGTGGTGGTGAACATCGAGCGCCATTTTGTTGAGGTTTTCTTTAAGATTGGCGATTGTGCTCCACATGATTCAATTCCTCACTGCCCTCGATGAGAGGTCTAATGGCAAATATGGACGGAGGAAGAGATAAATGGTATGTTGGAAGGAATCTGGATTTGATTTGATACTTATATGGAAATGAATGAATGAATTGAGATTTTGAGGGGTCAAGACAGCGAGAGCGTGTTTATTAACTAACAGTAATTAATTACCAGTAATAAAACCAGTGTGGGCCCGGCCGTTACTACTTCGATCCATCCTTTTCACAACTCGTACGGTGCAGGAGGTTTAAGGTAAGCAAAATCATAGAATCGACGGGAGTCTTAGGTGGTCAATTTTTTCTTATTTTTTATATTTTTGTTCATCACTCAACGTGAATAATTAAGAACATCTCCACCGATTTATTAAGGGGTTGTTTGGATGACCTAAATAAGTGTATTTTTTGTCTTTTTATGAAAAGATGTGTAAAAAAGTAGAGAGGTGATGTGATGAAAAAAAGATAAAAAAATAAAAATATGAATTATTTGGGACTTCCCAAACTTGGCCTAAGTATTTCATTAAATTTGACTGAAAAAAATTAGAGAGATTCACTAATAAGTTTTATATTTTAGCCTTGTAATTCATATAATTTCATATTTTTTCTTATGATTCATTTAGTTTTTTTAGATATGTAATGACTCATTTGTCAGTTATATTGTAGTGTCACATTTGAAAAAAGTACGTTAAAGAATTTTTAATATTACATCATACTCACCACGTTAAAGTGTTATATTTAGAAAAAGTATATTAAAGAATTTTTAATTTTTTTAGATTGTTACATCATACTAATCACGGTGAAGTGTCATGTGTCATGTTTGGGAAGAATACACGGAGTTTTTAATTTTTTTAGAATATCATATTATACTCGCTACATTGTTACGTTTGGAAAAAGTACACTAAGATTTTTTTTTTTTTTTTGAAATCTCACATTATACCCGTTACGTTGTCACATTTGGAAAAAAATACACTATGAAGTTTTTATTTTTTTTAGAGTGTTACATCATATCCGTCACGTTATCACGTTTGAAAAAAGTACACTAAACAGTTTTTTTTTTTAGAGTGTCATATCATACCTACCACACGTTGTCACGTTTGAGAAAAGTACACTAAGGAGATTTTTTTTTGAAGTGTCACATCATATACATCACGTTGTCACATTTAAAAAAATACACTATGAAGTTTTTTTTTTTTTAGAGTGTTACATCATACCCGTCACGTTTGAGAAAAGTATACTAAAGAATTTTTTTTTTTTTAAATGTCATATCATACCCGCCACACATTATCACGTTTGAGAAAAGTACACTAAGGAGATTTTTTTTTTGAAGTGTCACATCATATATATCGCGTTGTCACATTTGAAAAAAATACACTAAGTAGTTTTTAAGTTTTTTAGAGTGTTACATCATATCCAGCACGTTGTCACGTTTGAGAAAAATATAGTAAAGAATTTTTATTTTTTTTGAAATGTCACATCATACTCACCACGTTGTCATATTGAAAAAGTATACTAATAAGTTTTTTATTTTATTTTTTTGAATAAAAATTTTGAAGTGTCACATCATATCCGTCATGTTGTCACATTTAAGAAAAATACATTAAAGAGTTTTTAATTTTTTTTGAATTGTTACATCGTTGGAGTGTCACATTCATACTTGCCACATTGAAGTATCACATCATACTTATCACATTAATAAAATGGTATAGTTATCTATCAAAACACTACCAAAATAAAAAATAGGACCATACGGAAAGAAACTCACCACTATTAGGACTTAACAGATCAATAGAAAAAACTTGAAACTAATTGAAGTACTTGTTTGTGAGATGGGATTTTGGTAAATATCCCAAAAAAATATGAATTCCTTTATTTGATATCATTCACTCTAATAGTGAATTTGTAGTTGTCAAAAAAATATAAGTCGTCCAGGGGTTAACCGATAAGAGCAAATGAAAAAAAAAAAAATCTGCTCTACGTTCCATACATTGTAGGAATCCCTAATGTGTTAAAACCATGGAATGGTCAATTTTGAAGGTTAGGAACTTGAAATTCAATGATCAAAAGCTAAAATTTCAATTCTTTTGGAAACGGGTATCCAATGATTTGATATGGGTAAAAAAATACAAAATTTCACACAAAAAAAACCCCTACATTTATGAATAGCTCAGCGAATTCTTCAAATCTGATAAACCAAATCAAAATTTTGAAGCTTTTCGCTAATGGGTTGTTGAAAATGTTTAAAATTTTAGACAACAACACATCAGAAAGAAAGAGAAAGAGAAAGAGAAAGAGAAAGCACAAAAGGAAAACACAAAAGAACAAAAGTGAAAAAAGAGAATACACCCACAAATACAAACACAAAGAAAGACAAAAACAAAGCACAAAATACGAATCTTTATGCGGTTAGTTGAGTAGAGAAAAACGAGGAAGGAGAGAGAAGATGGGTTAAGAAAATGGGGGTTTGGCCTCAAAAACAACAAAAGTTATTCTGAGAAATAGAATGGCTTGTGTTGAAGAGAAAAATGGCAAATGAGAAATAATAAGATTAAAGATTGGAATGAAAATCCCTTGATTTTTGGGTTATCAATGCTTGAATTGGATAAACGAAAGTGTGATGGGTCCAAAATCAGAGAGAGAGAGAATGCAAAGAACAACAATGATTTCAATTGAATGATTAGCAAGCCAGTTCACAGTCCAAACCATGGTTGTAAACTGGGAATTGTTCAGTTAGCCAGATGATCGAGAGACAATCAGTCGGACGTCTAGCCGATCATTCAGTGGGTTCCACTCCCAACGTACACGCACAGTAAACTGGTGAAAGCTGGCCTAAGTCCTCGATTTGGTGAAAGATTTGGAATTTTCTCAATTTGATACAACTTTGATGAAATCATTGGAGACCAAAAAAGTGTACTTTTTCACCAAATTTAAATTTGATGATGGATTTGGTTAAACGTTGGAGATGGCCTAATACCTTTTTTTTTTTTTTTGGCTAATCATATTATTATGAAGTATTATGTGATTGTGCTCTCAAACTATCGAAGATAAGTTGGATGTGATGGATCTAGGGGTGAAAATCGGCCCTTTGGTTTGCCTAGTCTGCCCAATTCAGACCTATTTTTTTAGGATTTGGGAAAATTGTTTTAACCTATAGAATCGCGTTAGGTCAATATTTTTAACCCAGAGTATTAGTGAGTTACGTTTAAAATTTATACTTTCAACCCAGTCTGATCCGATTCGTCTGGTTATTAAATTAATTAGTTAATTATTTATTTATTTATAATGCATTAAAATATATTTTTTTTTGTTGGGATTTAGATTTTATTTTTATTGATTTTATTGAAACTCACATTTGTGGTGATGTGTAATTAAATTTCTTTAACAAATTTTTTAATTTATACACAAAATCTTTCAATTTATAATGATGTCAATATATTTATTTAAGAAATATAATGCGTGATTAAATTTAATTATCGAATGTTTTAATTTTTTTTAACATATAGCCCCAATCGGTGGGTTTGAGATTTATAATTATTTTTTAGACCGAGTTTGGATAGACACAAAACCCCTTATTATTATAATTATTTTTTGGATCGAGTTTGGATAGATATACAAGCCCAATGTTAAGATTCGGTCAGGTTTGGATAGACACAAAATCTCTTATTATGTAGTGTTAGTCCAACCCGAATCTAGCCAAGCCCGACGTTTGTCCACCCCTAGATAGAAGTGGACATCGACCAGGTCGGGCCGGGCCGAGTTTGGCTTAAGCTGACACTACATAATAATAGACTTGATACGTGACAACTCTCACCTCTAATTAGCGTTAAATTGTGATTTAGCATGATAAGTAATTGATTAGGATGAAATCCTAAATTGTTGTGCAAGTGTGTTGTTTTAATGCATTTCTATCTGTTTGTCATTGAATGATCTGTTCATGTTTTAATTTCGAATTGCGAATTGAAAAGCCTTATCGGCGACCGATTCAGAAATTGATTGGTGTTTTATACTAATTAAGAATTGTAGGATTTTATGGTAGGTTTAATTAAAATTCAATTTGGAATGATTAAATTAGAATAAATAATGTTAATTTACATTAGCTTGAGTTATTACACAATTGTCATTGAGTGGGCCACCTTTACAAACCTTGTTTGGAACTTCATTCACACATTTGACACACCATTCTTTATCCATTTTCTAGACCAAACCGTGAGTAAGAGAGAGAGTGGGAGAAAATTGAATTCATCTAGAAATTTTGCTTGAATTTAGAAGAATTGAAGAGGACTTGCAAAATTAGGCTACCATACTTGCAATCCAAGACTTAAGGTAGGAAATTCATCCCCTTAACCATGAATTGAAGTTGTTACATGCATTGTTCATGAAGGTTTCATTGAAATTATGTTCAATTGGTGAATAGTGTCAAGAATTAGCTTAAAGTGTTGATTTGAGAGTGAATTCATGCATGTATGTCCATATCATAGAGTTTGAAGTTATTTTTCATGAAATTCTTACATGCATGTTCATATTTTAGTTGTGGTCCAAGAATTCACCATGTTTTAGAGTTCAATCTTGCATTTGATCATATTTTTGAGCATTAGAGTTCGTGAGAACTCATGCATGTTATGTTCTTGTATTGTTCTTCAAGTTTCATTCAAAATTGTGTTTAATTGTCATACCTTTGGGCTTGATTTTATAAAATGATCTTTGAAATATGTTGTATTATGGGTTTCTACGTGTTTTCCAGAAAATTGGCCCAAAATGTTGAGTTTTGATATGTTTGATTCTTGGTTTGAGCTTTGGAAGCAAATATGGAAAACCCAAATTTTGGCTTCCACGCTCGAGTGACCACCTTTGTGTTCAGAGCTCCGCTCGAGCGACAGAATGCTGGCTCAAGCGTAGATTGCAAGCTCTCAGGTTTTTGCGTGTACAGATGCACGCTCGAGCGACGACATCCACGCTTAAGTGAGGAATTATGTCTCACGCTCGAGCGAGCATCGAGCGGAGAATTTTAGCAACCAGTACTTTTTGCATTTTTACAGACCGCTTGAGCGAGGGAGTCTACGCTCGAGCGACCCCTCTGTTTTGGTAAGCTCGCTCGAGCGGAGAAAGCCACGCTCGAGCGAGACCCCTGTTTTCAGCAAATTTTGAAAAG